AGGCACCACAGCCCTCATTAATGCAGTTTGGTCACCTGAAAAATCATGTGTCAGTGTTTCTACCATGAAGGCTATTTTGTTTCTGGGAATGAATTTTGACCTAGACTATGCTACCTTTTATGAAAAGTTGCTGAAAAATAAATGGATCCTTCAAAAAATTGCTTCACATGACAAATAGAGTACACAAGAAGCATCGCACTGTACAGAAAGCAAGATGAGGACAAGGCAGGCACTTCTAAAGGGCAGTAACTAATTAATTATCAGTATATACTTTTAATTTTTACCTATTGATAATGCTATAATAATGCAGTAAGTCTTTTTAATTGGTGCTCAGTAAATTTCATGTTATTTTGAACATTTGTATTGCACAGTTGTGATTGACTGCTGTTCAACTCACTTGAATCGAAGTAATTTTAACAAGTGTCCAGTATTCAGCACAAGGAAATATGGTCACTCTACACATTTCCTGTTTCTCTACTATCAGAACGCCTTCTCTTTATAGCCTACAGGGACTCACATGAGACAAATATTTTGATTGAGGTGTACTTTCTGCAAACAGACTGCAAAAGCATCAAGCAGAAAAAAGATAGCAGCCTGAATGTGCCACTTAATCCTATTTGCAAGCACTATTTAATTTTAGAATTATATTAGCTATACTGTGAATGTACCTTTTTTTCTCCCCATGCTTTTTGCAAAAGAGATGAGGATCACTTATACCTGTTCCATGTGAAGTCCTAGCATTATACCTACTAAAAAGTCTACTGAAAAATAGAGGTGGTCTGAGGTGAGGAGGGTTAGCCTGGTAAATTCCATTCTAGATCCACTATATATCACAGTAAAGGGGCAACAGACAAGCACTCCAAACATTGTCCATTCTATTCTTTAAACAAACAGAGTCAATTTTGCAGTCCTTACACATCCAAAATTCTCACTGACTTCAATGCAGGATTGGGCCCTCAGATAGGAAAGTGGAGCAAACACATTGAATATGGTCCTGTAACAAGACATGAACATAAAATTTATCTTCTCCAATCCTGACCTGCCTTTACAATTTACTTATCAAGAATTTCCTTTGCAACTGAGCCTCGTGTTTGTAATGAAGAATACCTAAAGGAAGTAGAATATGACAATATTAATATATGTTCAACTCTCTACCAATCCCTAACCTTGCTTGTTTTTTATCTTTCTCTCTCTCGCTCATATACACACGTCACTCCCCGCATCATGCTATCTTTGTCTGGTGAATAATACATTAATAGAACTTTTTTCAAATACATTTTCCATTAAAACAGGCTGTGCTAAACCACTATCAATTGAGAGAGCTTTAATAAAATGTATCAATACTGATAAAACCCTCTTTGGTTGAACCTAATAAAATTTCACAAATAGATAATTATCTTAACATCTAGCTTCTGTTGTATGAAATGAATTCTCAAAATAAATTTACCTAAATTTTAAGAATTCTGATATACTGGGATTGGCAAGCAACATCTTACTATATCTAAACAAGCAGATAGCACTAGCATAAATTTCTTGTTCTCAACTTAGTTTTTTAGGATTCTTCTTAAAAGAAGCAAACCGTGCACAATCAAACGAGGAAGCGAAGGATAGATGAAGATTCTTCCCCAGCAATAATCACCAATGGACCCTATATGAAAAAGTAGAAATAATGATAAATCTGAAAATAATATGAACACTCACTGAATATGTTATCTGGTTTGATTTGAGATACCATCTGTTGAAAATCACTGAGGACAAAGCTGGATTAGATTTGGTTTCTTCTAGAGTTGATGACTGCTCCCTTTAAAATGATCTATCTGCAAACAGACACACAGTCATTCCTGAAGTTCAGCTGCCATCTAGTGGATGTGATGAAAACTATAATTTTTTTTAAAAGACTTGCTTTTGGACTGGAGTCAGGTTCTAAGCATGATAATTGTTCCAGAGGTGTGACTACCTAGGGAAATGGGCTTGAGACGACTACTTTTATTTTTTGACTTTGTGTTTTAACATTGAAAAACATTGCCATTCAATCCCATATACTTTCTAGGAACATCTGTAATTCTGGTCCTGATCCTGCAATTGAATCCATATGGGTAAACATCTGCACCTGTGTGAACTTCAATTAAACATAATGGGGCTGCACCTTACTTCAGTAGAGCCAGTTGAAAGACTAGTAAAAAATAAGAATTAAATTCATGCTAAAGTGGGCAGCTAAAAATCACTAGTCAAGATATGCTTAAATTAAAATTCCAACAACGTTATACTTACTGTACTACATAACTTGTATATTTAATGATATGCTTTTTTATATAAGCAGTAACATTAAGCAATAATTAAACAACAAAATGAAAAGAGGAACAGAAACACTGTGCATCAATAGGGCCCAGTCTAACATTTATTTTGGGAGGTTAAATTATGTAATTATTTTGTGACTTTTCATTGCAGTTTATTCTACCAAGAACATAGCTTCCACATTTCATCCTTGTATTTTTAAAGTTAATATAAGAAACTTTTAATATTTTAAATTCTTACTTAAGCCTTGTTCATATTTCATTATGTGAACAGGACAAGGAAACTGATGCATCCGCACTACCAAGCCTGTTGTATAGACTTTAAGGGCCGTGGAAGTTGATTTCAGTTTCCTGCTCTGCCTAAAGCATTACGCTATTCCCAACCTTGCATGGTCGAATTTACAGTAGTGTAGATGCAGCATTGCTAAAAGTCGAGGTTATTAGGGTTATTCTAACCACTTTGGTCAGAGCTTGTACCACTACTGTTCTCAAGGTGAGCAGAAAAAGCCCTGGGAAAATTTGAATTGCATTTCCCATGTGGCCAGTGTTGTGAGAATTTCTCAGAGCAAGCAGCACACAGCACCATATGCAGACATGACTTTGACTAATTTTAGTAACATGGCGATGAGTTCAAATACTTCTGTTCCCATGGGCTCCAGTTCCCAAAGGTGCAGAAGAGTGCCAGTATGGAGCATCCAGGAGATCTTGGACCTCACTGAGGTGTGGGAAGATGAATCTGTTCTCTCCAAACTCTGAACCAGAAAGAGGAACACAAACTTTTATGGCAAGATCACAAGCTGCCTGGTAACTAAAGGCTATCCCGGGGATGCATAACAATGCCAAGTCAAAATAAAGGAGCTGAGGAAGTCCTACCACAAGGCAAAGAAGGCAAGTGTAAGGTCTGGTACAACTCATGCAGCTACTACGCGCAGCTGGACATGATTGGGGGGCAGCCAGCTTCCCCAGCATGACCGTGTCCAGCCAAGACACCTTGGCATCAACATGAAGGACAGCATGGTGACAGAGCAGGGGAAGGAGGAAAAGAAGGAGGAGAAGGAGGATGGCCAGCTGGCAATCCCCGTGAGCCAAGAGCTGTTCATGACACTGGAGCCAGTCCCCTCCACCCAAGACGTCTCCCAGTCAAGCATTGACCCCAGAGAGGGCACTTCCAGTGAGTTCACAAACTTTTTCCAAGCGTATTACAAGCGTATTAAGGCAAAGGGGTGCGATATGTGGCACGCTCTGTGAGGGGTGGAACATCTTGTTAATGTGTTTACTGATGGAGCGAGAATATTGCCCGCACATCTCCATTAAGCTCTTAGGATACCTCTACACTGCAGTTATTTTGAAATAAAATATTCTGGAGCAGTTATTCTGAAATATCGTATTTTGAAATAGCACATCTACACTGCAGGGAAGCCTCAAAATTAGTCAGAGGCAGGTTTCCCTAATGTAGACGTACTCTCTCGATTTAGAGCCCTAGGAGGAATAACTTAAAATGTCCCTGGTGAGGGGCTATTCTGAAATAGCAGAAGTGGAGCATCTATACATTCCTTATTTCGAAATAGCTATTTTGGAATAGGCGTTATTCTTCGCAGAATGAGGTTTACAGAAGTCGGAATGAGTCATCCTTTATTTTGAAATTATTTCAAAACTAGCCAATTAGCCCATCATAAGACAGGATTTTCAGGTCTCTCCTCCACATCGGTCTTCTCTCCTGAGCCTCTGGTCTCTCGCTCTCTCTCTCTCTCCTCCTCCTCCTTCTACTGCCTCCACCTCTCTCTCTTAGCTCTCGTCCACCTCTTGCCTCTCTCTCCTTCTCCCTCTCTTTCTCTTCTCCCCCTCCCGCCTCTAACTCTGTGTTTCTCTTCTCCTGCTGCTGCTGCGTCTCTCGCACTCTCTCTCTCGCTGTCCTCCGTCTCCTCTGTTCTCCTCTCTGTCTCCTCCACGTCCTCTGTGTCTGCTCCGCTTTCCTCCTTTTGAATCTTGCGCCCTTTCCTGATGTCAGAAACGCATGCTTGTCCAGGCCCTCCCCCTGGCTGTTGCCTCCCGTCGTGGCGCTTGGCTGACTTCTGCACCACTCAGCTGGGCTGCTACACAGGAGCAAGCGGCTGTTTACGGTCTGCGCTCCCCATGCAGCACCCCCGTTGCTCCTGCGCGATGGACTGGCTGAGCGGCACAGAAGTCAGCCAAGCACCAAGGCGGGAGGCAACAGCGCCGTTCAGAGGAAACAGCCAGAGTTTCAGCATTCCAGAGTCATAGACATTGGGCAACTATGTATATGATAATAGAATTGCTGTGTAGATGGCCATTATTCTGAAATAACTTTGCTGTGTAAACACACCCTTAGATGGGAACTCTTTCATCCCTCTCACACTTTTTTTGGGAAGGCCAGTCTTATTCCATTCTCCATGGTAGGGTACCAAGAAAGCCCCGATTGCCATTTTAGCCATCGGGGCTTTTTTGCGCAAAACAGTTCTTCCCTGTCTACACTGGCCCTCTTGCGCAAGTATTCTTATGCAAGAGGGCTTTTTCCCAAGCGGGAACGTGAAAGTATTTGCACAAGAAGCATTGATTTTGTACATTACAAAGTCAGTGCTCTTGCGCAAATTCAAGTGGCCAGTGTAGACAGCTGGCAAGTTTTTGCGCAAAAGCGGCCACTTTTGCAAAAAATTTTGCCAGTCTAGATGCACCCAAGGAGTGATAGGCCTGTTGCTCCCCCTTCAATCTACTATCTGATGTTCCTCCTCTTGCACCAGCTACCAGTACTTCCTGAGCAAAACCACGGTAGAGGCAATAAAGAAAAACAACTCATTGGTGATTCTGTATATCTATACCCTTCAAAATAATGTAACATAAGGCTCAGAGAAAGATTTTTCACATCATACACAGTGTCCCTGCTGCAGTCTTTGATTGAGGATGGGAAAATTAAGGAACAGGAATTTCACAATGCAGTCGAGAATTTTTATTCAACGTTTCTGAAGTATGTGCAGTACTGGAATCCTGCCTTTGAATGCAAGAAAAGTTTGAGTGTGCCCTGTTGAGAAACATGCTAGCTTGGGATAATATACAAAGCAGTCTTGCCTTTGCCACACAAGAATTCCCATCCTATGTTTCATAGATGGGAATCATCTTTTTGATGAATGAACAAATGCAAAACCACTAATATCTTGTCACATGTGTGACTGGAACACTTAGAAAACTCCCATTTCTGAAAGGTGACAGAAGGTTTTTTCCAGAATTGGACAGTAAGATAGTGGAATACTCAGATCTGGCATAGGTAATTGAGTTTGTTTTGTGTTATGTCAGGCACCACAGCCCTCATTAATGCAGTTTGGTCACCTGAAAAATCATGTGTCAGTGTTTCTACCATGAAGGCTATTTTGTTTCTGGGAATGAATTTTGACCTAGACTATGCTACCTTTTATGAAAAGTTGCTGAAAAATAAATGGATCCTTCAAAAAATTGCTTCACATGACAAATAGAGTACACAAGAAGCATCGCACTGTACAGAAAGCAAGATGAGGACAAGGCAGGCACTTCTAAAGGGCAGTAACTAATTAATTATCAGTATATACTTTTAATTTTTACCTATTGATAATGCTATAATAATGCAGTAAGTCTTTTTAATTGGTGCTCAGTAAATTTCATGTTATTTTGAACATTTGTATTGCACAGTTGTGATTGACTGCTGTTCAACTCACTTGAATCGAAGTAATTTTAACAAGTGTCCAGTATTCAGCACAAGGAAATATGGTCACTCTACACATTTCCTGTTTCTCTACTATCAGAACGCCTTCTCTTTATAGCCTACAGGGACTCACATGAGACAAATATTTTGATTGAGGTGTACTTTCTGCAAACAGACTGCAAAAGCATCAAGCAGAAAAAAGATAGCAGCCTGAATGTGCCACTTAATCCTATTTGCAAGCACTATTTAATTTTAGAATTATATTAGCTATACTGTGAATGTACCTTTTTTTCTCCCCATGCTTTTTGCAAAAGAGATGAGGATCACTTATACCTGTTCCATGTGAAGTCCTAGCATTATACCTACTAAAAAGTCTACTGAAAAATAGAGGTGGTCTGAGGTGAGGAGGGTTAGCCTGGTAAATTCCATTCTAGATCCACTATATATCACAGTAAAGGGGCAACAGACAAGCACTCCAAACATTGTCCATTCTATTCTTTAAACAAACAGAGTCAATTTTGCAGTCCTTACACATCCAAAATTCTCACTGACTTCAATGCAGGATTGGGCCCTCAGATAGGAAAGTGGAGCAAACACATTGAATATGGTCCTGTAACAAGACATGAACATAAAATTTATCTTCTCCAATCCTGACCTGCCTTTACAATTTACTTATCAAGAATTTCCTTTGCAACTGAGCCTCGTGTTTGTAATGAAGAATACCTAAAGGAAGTAGAATATGACAATATTAATATATGTTCAACTCTCTACCAATCCCTAACCTTGCTTGTTTTTTATCTTTCTCTCTCTCGCTCATATACACACGTCACTCCCCGCATCATGCTATCTTTGTCTGGTGAATAATACATTAATAGAACTTTTTTCAAATACATTTTCCATTAAAACAGGCTGTGCTAAACCACTATCAATTGAGAGAGCTTTAATAAAATGTATCAATACTGATAAAACCCTCTTTGGTTGAACCTAATAAAATTTCACAAATAGATAATTATCTTAACATCTAGCTTCTGTTGTATGAAATGAATTCTCAAAATAAATTTACCTAAATTTTAAGAATTCTGATATACTGGGATTGGCAAGCAACATCTTACTATATCTAAACAAGCAGATAGCACTAGCATAAATTTCTTGTTCTCAACTTAGTTTTTTAGGATTCTTCTTAAAAGAAGCAAACCGTGCACAATCAAACGAGGAAGCGAAGGATAGATGAAGATTCTTCCCCAGCAATAATCACCAATGGACCCTATATGAAAAAGTAGAAATAATGATAAATCTGAAAATAATATGAACACTCACTGAATATGTTATCTGGTTTGATTTGAGATACCATCTGTTGAAAATCACTGAGGACAAAGCTGGATTAGATTTGGTTTCTTCTAGAGTTGATGACTGCTCCCTTTAAAATGATCTATCTGCAAACAGACACACAGTCATTCCTGAAGTTCAGCTGCCATCTAGTGGATGTGATGAAAACTATAATTTTTTTTAAAAGACTTGCTTTTGGACTGGAGTCAGGTTCTAAGCATGATAATTGTTCCAGAGGTGTGACTACCTAGGGAAATGGGCTTGAGACGACTACTTTTATTTTTTGACTTTGTGTTTTAACATTGAAAAACATTGCCATTCAATCCCATATACTTTCTAGGAACATCTGTAATTCTGGTCCTGATCCTGCAATTGAATCCATATGGGTAAACATCTGCACCTGTGTGAACTTCAATTAAACATAATGGGGCTGCACCTTACTTCAGTAGAGCCAGTTGAAAGACTAGTAAAAAATAAGAATTAAATTCATGCTAAAGTGGGCAGCTAAAAATCACTAGTCAAGATATGCTTAAATTAAAATTCCAACAACGTTATACTTACTGTACTACATAACTTGTATATTTAATGATATGCTTTTTTATATAAGCAGTAACATTAAGCAATAATTAAACAACAAAATGAAAAGAGGAACAGAAACACTGTGCATCAATAGGGCCCAGTCTAACATTTATTTTGGGAGGTTAAATTATGTAATTATTTTGTGACTTTTCATTGCAGTTTATTCTACCAAGAACATAGCTTCCAGATTTCATCCTTGTATTTTTAAAGTTAATATAAGAAACTTTTAATATTTTAAATTCTTACTTAAGCCTTGTTCATATTTCATTATGTGAACAGGACAAGGAAACTGATGCATCCGCACTACCAAGCCTGTTGTATAGACTTTAAGGGCCGTGGAAGTTGATTTCAGTTTCCTGCTCTGCCTAAAGCATTACGCTATTCCCAACCTTGCATGGTCGAATTTACAGTAGTGTAGATGCAGCATTGCTAAAAGTCGAGGTTATTAGGGTTATTCTAACCACTTTGGTCAGAGCTTGTACCACTACTGTTCTCAAGGTGAGCAGAAAAAGCCCTGGGAAAATTTGAATTGCATTTCCCATGTGGCCAGTGTTGTGAGAATTTCTCAGAGCAAGCAGCACACAGCACCATATGCAGACATGACTTTGACTAATTTTAGTAACATGGCGATGAGTTCAAATACTTCTGTTCCCATGGGCTCCAGTTCCCAAAGGTGCAGAAGAGTGCCAGTATGGAGCATCCAGGAGATCTTGGACCTCACTGAGGTGTGGGAAGATGAATCTGTTCTCTCCAAACTCTGAACCAGAAAGAGGAACACAAACTTTTATGGCAAGATCACAAGCTGCCTGGTAACTAAAGGCTATCCCGGGGATGCATAACAATGCCAAGTCAAAATAAAGGAGCTGAGGAAGTCCTACCACAAGGCAAAGAAGGCAAGTGTAAGGTCTGGTACAACTCATGCAGCTACTACGCGCAGCTGGACATGATTGGGGGGCAGCCAGCTTCCCCAGCATGACCGTGTCCAGCCAAGACACCTTGGCATCAACATGAAGGACAGCATGGTGACAGAGCAGGGGAAGGAGGAAAAGAAGGAGGAGAAGGAGGATGGCCAGCTGGCAATCCCCGTGAGCCAAGAGCTGTTCATGACACTGGAGCCAGTCCCCTCCACCCAAGACGTCTCCCAGTCAAGCATTGACCCCAGAGAGGGCACTTCCAGTGAGTTCACAAACTTTTTCCAAGCGTATTACAAGCGTATTAAGGCAAAGGGGTGCGATATGTGGCACGCTCTGTGAGGGGTGGAACATCTTGTTAATGTGTTTACTGATGGAGCGAGAATATTGCCCGCACATCTCCATTAAGCTCTTAGGATACCTCTACACTGCAGTTATTTTGAAATAAAATATTCTGGAGCAGTTATTCTGAAATATCGTATTTTGAAATAGCACATCTACACTGCAGGGAAGCCTCAAAATTAGTCAGAGGCAGGTTTCCCTAATGTAGACGTACTCTCTCGATTTAGAGCCCTAGGAGGAATAACTTAAAATGTCCCTGGTGAGGGGCTATTCTGAAATAGCAGAAGTGGAGCATCTATACATTCCTTATTTCGAAATAGCTATTTTGGAATAGGCGTTATTCTTCGCAGAATGAGGTTTACAGAAGTCGGAATGAGTCATCCTTTATTTTGAAATTATTTCAAAACTAGCCAATTAGCCCATCATAAGACAGGATTTTCAGGTCTCTCCTCCACATCGGTCTTCTCTCCTGAGCCTCTGGTCTCTCGCTCTCTCTCTCTCTCCTCCTCCTCCTTCTACTGCCTCCACCTCTCTCTCTTAGCTCTCGTCCACCTCTTGCCTCTCTCTCCTTCTCCCTCTCTTTCTCTTCTCCCCCTCCCGCCTCTAACTCTGTGTTTCTCTTCTCCTGCTGCTGCTGCGTCTCTCGCACTCTCTCTCTCGCTGTCCTCCGTCTCCTCTGTTCTCCTCTCTGTCTCCTCCACGTCCTCTGTGTCTGCTCCGCTTTCCTCCTTTTGAATCTTGCGCCCTTTCCTGATGTCAGAAACGCATGCTTGTCCAGGCCCTCCCCCTGGCTGTTGCCTCCCGTCGTGGCGCTTGGCTGACTTCTGCACCACTCAGCTGGGCTGCTACACAGGAGCAAGCGGCTGTTTACGGTCTGCGCTCCCCATGCAGCACCCCCGTTGCTCCTGCGCGATGGACTGGCTGAGCGGCACAGAAGTCAGCCAAGCACCAAGGCGGGAGGCAACAGCGCCGTTCAGAGGAAACAGCCAGAGTTTCAGCATTCCAGAGTCATAGACATTGGGCAACTATGTATATGATAATAGAATTGCTGTGTAGATGGCCATTATTCTGAAATAACTTTGCTGTGTAAACACACCCTTAGATGGGAACTCTTTCATCCCTCTCACACTTTTTTTGGGAAGGCCAGTCTTATTCCATTCTCCATGGTAGGGTACTTTCCCATGCCAAGCCACCAGTAAGTGGTCTGAACCACGTACATTGCAGCATAAGGCCCCGGTTTATGGCCATATTTAGTCAGCATCTGCTCCCAATCACTTGCTGTGATTTGGAGAAGATTGATATCTCACACTGCATCCTGGATAAAAGAGAAGGGGACCCTGTTAGAACTCTCCCCGGGAAACCACCTGTGACGGACACTGTTGGAAGTCACCCCATTCCGTCCCCTGCCGGCAGGCTCCTGCTCTGGCTGGAAAAGTAGCACTGTCCCAGGAGCCTGTGGGTGCCAGACCAGGCATGTGCTGGATGCAGCAGGAAGTAGCTCCCTCCCGTCCCCCATCCTCCCGCCTTCTGCAGGCTCCTGCCCTGGCTGGCCCCTTACCATTCCTCCCTGCTTCTGGGTAAGGATGTTAAGGACTAGTCAACTAGTTGACTATCCAATAAGCAAATGCTTATCAGATAGTCAAGTTGACTATCTAATAGAGGCAGCAAAGGGGGGTAAAGGGAGGTACTTCAAAGCAGCAGCACCACAAGGAGCCCATAGTGAGCTCCATGCAGCATTGCCCCTTTGAAACACCTCCTTGGGGAATTTCTAGAGAAATGCTGCGTAGAACCCGGGGTCAGCTGCGGAGTCCCCAGATGATCCCGGGTTCCACGGAAATGCCGCAAGGAGTCGCTCCACGTGGCATTTCAAAGCAGCAGTGCAGCATGGAACCCAGAGTCAACAGGGGACTCTGGCTCCGGGCTGCACACGGAGTTCCGCATTCCTCCTTTGAAATGTACAAGAGTGGGGGCTCTTGTACATTTCAAAGGAGGAATGCGGAAGTGCTTATCAAATAGTCAAGTAGTCAATGGAAACTCCATCAACTACTCAACTGGTAAATTACGCGATACTTAACTTCCTTACTTACGGGACGGAGCATGTCCCAATGCTCCCCTGAGAACCCTGTGTACCTGCTGTAAAGTGCTAGCTCTAAAGCAAACATTTGGTCTTGCACAGAACACATCTCCACTCTCTATACAGCGACCTTCAGTGTAGACAGCAGATTAGGATTAGGCTTAACTCAATATATCTCCTGTAACGTCTGCCCTTGTAACTTTTCTTATTGCAGCTGGGACAGCAACCAGCTCGCAGCGAACTTTCCCTCTTATATCATTTGCCCGCCTGGCTCAAATCTGCAAGCGAAAGCGGACAAGGGAGGACGTGTTCTGGGAGTAGATGGACTTCATGAACTCCCTCATGGAGGAAATGTGGGCAGACTGCCTGGACCAAATTGCGGAATGCTAGGAGAGAAGAGCCGTCAGGAACCAGTAGGCAAGACAGCAGGAGACAATGTTTGCCTCCTTGACCACTGTGATGGAGCACCTGGTTTCATGTCCGGAGAGACCCTCCCCTCTGAACCCTGTTGGCCTTGATGACAGCCCCAGTCCCTCCTCCTCCAGCTCCATTGCTTCCACTCCCAGGGTCTCCAAGGGCAATCAGGGTACAACGACATGGAGGGGGAGGGACTCAAGGAAAGCTGTACCCTCCAGGACCTTGGAAGGCAAAAAGCAGTCCCACAGACATTCCTGAGACCCTTCTCCCCTCTTTGGGTTCCCTCTTCTTTAATTTCCCAGCTGTTTTCCCTTACTAAAAACTCGTATTCTTTGAACAATGGTCTCTATATTGCTTGAACTGAAGGGGTGGAGTGGAAGATTAAAGGCAAACACAGGGAATGCAGGGGCAACTTGCTGAAAGCAAAATGGAAGAGTCTCAAAACTGGCCATGCATAAAACTGTCCTTCAAGGCCTCTCTGATTTGCACTGCCCCTTGATGTATTCTCCTTATGGCACTGGTGTCCAGCTGCTCAAACTGTCTGGGTAGGCACTCTGCCTCAGCACCCCATCCTGACAGATAAGTTTCCCCCTTGCTCTTACACAGACTATGGAGCACACAACAGGCTGTCACCACAAAGGAAATGTTGCATTTGCTGAGATCCAACTGAGTCTGGAGACTCCTAAACCTACTCTTTAAATGTCCAAAAGCACATTCAACCATCATTCTGCACTTGCTCAATCTGTTGTTGAACTCCTCCTTACTGGGGTCCCGACTGCCCACGTACGGCTTCATGAGCCATTTACTGGTTAACCAAGGATCACAATAGGAATTTCCACCTCTCCGATTTTGCTTTTCCTGTCTGGGGAAAAAATTCCACTCTGCATTTTCGGAAGAGGCAGGAGAAAGAGAAAGAGAGAGAGAGAGAGAAGGAGAGAAAGGCAGGAGGCGGACAAGAGCTGAGAGAGAGCGCGAGGAAGTCAGAGAAGAAGAGAGAAAGAGGCCGTTTACACCACTTGCTCCCGCATGGCAGCCCAGCTGAGCGGCGCAGAAGTCAGCCAAGCGCCACGGCAGGAGGCGAAGGGGGGCAGGGCGGTGACATACAGGGCGGTCTGGGTCTCCCCCCTCCCCCACAGGCAGGCAGCAGGGGAATCAAGTCCCCACCATGCCAGCTCCAGCTCCCCATTCCCACTCCCCCCTCCCTCCACAGGCAGGAAGCAGGGGAATAAAATCCATAGTGTGCCGGCTTCAGCTGCTTGGGCAGTAGGAACAGGGAGTCCCAAACCATGCCAGCCCCAACCACTTGGGCAGCACGCGCTGTCTCAGCAGCTGGAGCCGGCGTGCTAGGGACTTTATTTCCCTGGTGCCTGCCTGCGGGGGAGGGGGGAGTCCCAGACCACGCCAACTGCAACCGCTCGGGAAGCTTGCACCGGGAAGCTTACTCCTCCCCTCCCCGCGGCAGCACGCGCTGCCTGAGCAGCCAGAGTCGGTGCAGTCCGGGACACCCAACCCCTTCCCTGCGCAACGGACCAGCATTTTAGGTACCACACTGGCTGTTCGGGGGGAGGAAGAGCAGCCTGTGCACTTCTGGTACCAGGCGCGCGGCTGCAGAACTCTCCCCACCCCACCGGAAGCCCGCACTACCTCCGTTATTCCTGGAGGTCGCATCAGCGCAGCATTCATCTTGGGGGTTGGGGCAGTGAGGGGGCCCCCAAAAGCCTCACAATCGACTGGTTGGAATCCCAAGATCGACCAGTAGATCACGATCGATGGGTTGGTGACCACAGGGCTATTGACATGTTCTTCTCCATAGTCATAGCAGGTTTGATTCAGGGATTCTAGGGTCTCAGCACAGAGGAAAGCCATTTGCAAAGTTTGAAGAAAGTCACCTTGTGCATTCAGAAGATTTGTAGCCACTGATGACTGTCCCATCTCTGCATCACAATGCAGTCTCACCAGTGTCAACTTGTCTCACAGTGCAAGAACCAGCATTGCACTGTGTCTACAGGATTAAGCTGCCAGTCCATGCCATACCGAGATTCGTCCTTGTCCTCTTCCTGGAGGAGCAACATGCGTATGCTCTCAAAGTACTGTGCCATTAGGCATACTATGACACACATCAGCATCACAATGGTTTGCTGCAAACTGGGTTCCATGCCCACACTACTATGGCATCTGCATGGGCAACTAGAGCACAAAAAGACAGAAGCACACTGCCTCCTGTTGATCTCATGCAAGGGTGAAAGGAATAGTTGAGTGCATTATGGGACGCTGATGACATGAGCCCATAACCACCCACTGCACAGTTTTGGTCCCAGTGGGCATTGTGAGAATAGCCCAGAATGCAAAGCTGCCCATGGTGCATCGCTCTTTGAGTTGATGATAGGCTTCCTAATGGTGACATGGTACTTTGGAATACATTCTATTCTTCCCCACAGTGAGAACATGGACTTTTGACTTCGTAAAATTGTGTGCCCAGAAATCAATCATATTAGATTCTACCTTATCTCGTAGTATAGACATGTCCTAAGTGTCTCTGTAATGCAGGGGTTCTCAAACTTTGTGATACCATGACCCCCTAAAATACTAAATATATTTGTGTGACTCCTCCCCACACCCTCGCTGCCCTGGGTCGCTTCCTCCCTCCTTCTCACCAGACTCCTTGCCCTCCTGGGATTCCTTCAAGGTGTTTGCAGTCCTCAACGCCCTTCCCGCCTGCAGGCTCCTTTCCCACATCTCTTTCTCCTCTGTGCCTCTTTTCGGCTCCGCGTCCCTTTGGTTTTCTCTCTCTCTCTCTCTCTCTCTCTCCTCTCTTCTGTCTCCTCCTCTGACCCCCATGTGCCCTTATTTACCTTGGGGTCCTCTGCATTATGGGACAGTGGGATGACCCAATCCCCCAGCCCACTACCTGAGGGACCCTGCCCTCTCCCAGCTAGGGAAGCGTTCGGTCGCCCGGCAACCGTGCCCCGGCCGGCCCCTCGCGCGTCCGCCCCCGCCTCACTCTCCTGTTGCATTGCTCTGTGGCTGCACCATGGAGCACAGGGTCAAGGCAGGCGGCTTGCTCTGGGGCTGCACTGCTCTGATGATGTTGGTGACCCACCTCCCTATCTTTAGCTGATGCCAGCTCCAGCCCTAGGGAAGCTGATGGTGGCTGCCCAGCTGTTCCAACAGTGGGGGAGAGGGGTGATCTGCGGGAACAGCGATCTGTGGCTAACGGGAGCTGAGATTTCTCGTACCTGCAGAGGCGCAGGTAAACAAAGCATTTTATGGACAGCCAGTGGCTCGCCCTTACAAGCCATGACCCAGAGTTTGAAAACTCCCTATTTAAGGTACAGAAGCAGCAACAAACGAGGTGATTTTTATTTTGTTTTCAGTTGGTTGGCTAGTTGAGGATTTTCCCGTATTTTCTCTCCATTTCTATTTTATCTTTCTTCTTCTCTGGACTCTAATACAGATAGATTATTATGCTATTGTTTTACTTAATGAATGTAATTCCCACTACCAGTTTTCCAAATGGTATAGCTATATATACATTTTCTTTATTAAAATAAAATTGTAATGGAAACAAAGTGTCCCATCCATGAACACATAATTCAGAAATCAACAAAGAAAGGTCCTGTCCTTACTCCCACTGAAGTCAAAAGCAGCCAAAGTCAACAATTTTAGTAATTGTTATTTGAAACTCTTTGCCACAGAGTTTGCAGATATTTTTCTTTGTCATCAGAAATCAGAGTTTCCAGATGTTACAAGAAATCTGTTCTAAAGAGTGAACATGGGCCATAGTGCCTGGTTTCAAATATACTTTTTTCCTAAACACAACCTTTTAACACCAAGCAGAGGATCTGTCAATTCCAATTTCGAAATTTCTCCATCTCAGAGCTAGGTCTGCTGCCCTTTTATAAATTGAATTATTCTGCCTCTTTTTCTTAATTGAATATAGACAGAAATATGTTGATATTCAAATTATGTTCTTTCAGAAAAAAAAATAACCAAAAAGAACGTATTTTAAAAGCCGGGCTTAAAAATATTACCTTTTCTCTCTGAATGCTAGCTTCAGACAGTCCTTGGCCAGCCAACCTGGCTATCAGACCCAAAGCAAGTGGCTCATTTTTTAAGTAGTACATCTGCATAACATCAAAAATATTTGTACATACTTGCACTGAGATGTCTGCTATGAAAAATGCTCAAATTTATATCAAAAGACAGAAGGGAGGACAGAAAATGAGATAAAGAGAAATGAGATTTGATCAAGAACTGAAAAAAAATGCAAGGGAGAGTAGGTGGGACTACTCAAGCAAGAATTAGTTGGAAGGGGAAAGTTTCCTGGTTTCCCATAACAACTGGGAGAAGATGCTCTATCTCTCTTGGCCATCACCTTTCATTCATGCTATGTTTCTACCTAACATTTACAGTCATCTGAGGCTCCACTTAGGAAGGAACAATCAGTTCCATACATACAAGATGGGAAGCGACTGTCTAGGAAGGAGCATGGCGGAAAGGGATCTAGGAGTCATAGTGGACCACAAGTTGAATATGAGTCAACAGTGTGATGCTGTTGCAAAAAAAGCAAATATGATTCTAGGTTGTATCAACAGGTGTGTTGTAAGCAAAACTCGTGAAGTCATCCTGCCGCTCTACTCTGCACTAGTTAGGCCTCAGCTGGAGTACTGTGTCCAGTTCTGGGCACCACATTTCAAGAAAGATGTGGAGAAATTGGAAAGGGTACAGAGAAGAGCAACAAGAATGATTAAAGGTCTAGAGAACATGACCTATGAAGCCAGGCTTCATGAACTGGGCTTGTTAAGTTTGGAAAAAAGAAGATTAAGGGGGGACATGATAGCAGTTTTCAAATATCTAAAAGGGTGTCACAAGGAAGAAGGAGAAAATTTGTTCCTCTTGGTTACTGAGGACAGGACAAGGAGTAATGGGCTTAAAGTGCAGCAGGGGAGGTTTAGATTGGACATTAGGAAAAAATTCCTAACTGTCAGGGTGGTCAAATATTGGAATAAATTGCCAAGGGAGGTGGTGGAATCTCCCTCTCTGGAGATATTTAAGAACAGGTTAGATAGACATCTGTCAGGGATGGTGTAGACAGAGCTTGATCCTGCCTTGAGGGCGGGGGGCTGGACTCGATGACCTCTCGAGGTCCCTTCCAGTCCTATTATTCTATGATACACATAATTTTCCTATAAATAGGTGCAGGAGGTTTTATCTATATTTTGCTATTATTTGTCTTTACGTAAATGTACTAGTCTGATTTAAATCCCCCGCGGATTTCCCTATTACGATCGCTGAAATTAACATGCCCCTTCCGGAAAAGGGGCCAGTGTAGACGTAGCCTTAGTGTAGACATGGCCTTTGTCTGTGAGTAGCTCCATAACATTGAATAAGGCTACTATTGTGAGTAAAGGATATACTTAGCACAGATGGGACTTAAGTATAAAGAAGTATTTAAAGAATCCACTACATCAAAGGCACAGTCAGACAGAATCCAGGAAACTAAAAGCGATCAGCACTGGAATTCTGCTGATCTCATCAGTTACATGAAAATTCTTATGGAGAAAGTCCTGTATGGGCCCAATCCTTACTGAATCAACTGACTTAACTCGAAAGTGGCTTCAGTGGGTTTTGGTTCTGGCTTTCTGAACAGATATGCCTCATAGAATCATAGAATCATAGGACTGGAAGGGACCTCAAGAGGTCATCGAGTCCAGCCCCCCGCCCTCAAGGCAGGACCATGCTCCGTCTACACCATCCCTGATAGATGTCTATCTAACCTGTTCTTAAATATCTCCAGAGAGGGAGATTCCACCACCTCCCTTGGCAATTTATTCCAATATTTGACCACCCTGACAGTTAGGAATTTTTTCCTAATGTCCAATCTAAACTTCCCTTGCTGCACTTTAAGCCCATTACTCCTTGTCCTGTCTCAGAAACCAAGAGGAACACATTTTCTCCTTCCTCCTTGTTGAGCATCAAAGATTTATGGTAATCATATTAACCAGTATGAGCCTTCTGCTGGAGTATATACAGGGTCTGCCAGAACATGGAAGACTCTTGGGAGGCCATGAACATAGTCTTCTGTGAAGCACATTAGTTGTGTGACTGACATATGCCACAGACTTAGAGGAAACAAACCTGAAGACAGTTGGCAGTTTTTCAAAGGGACTTGGTTAAGGACACAAGAGCAAACTATTCGACTGTGTAGGAAAGAGAGGAAATATGGCAAGAGATCACTGGTTTAACCAGGAAATCTTAAATGTTCTAAAAATCAAAAAGAGTAATAAAAAGTGGAAACTAGGTCAAAGTACAAAGGATTAATATAAGCAAATGATGCAAATATGGCATGGCAAGATTAGAAAGGTAAAAGCACAAAATGAGCTCAATCTAGCTAGAAACAAAGGTTAAGAAAACATTCTACATATACACTAGAAGCAAGGAGAAGACTAAGGACAGAGTAGGCTCATTGCTCAATGAAGTGAAAGAAACAATAACAGAAAACTTGGAAATTGCAGAGGTGCTTACCTTCTTTGTTTCGGTTTTCACCAAGAAGTTTGATGGTGACTAGATGCCTAACACAGTGAATGCTAGTGGAAATGGGGGAGGGTTTAGAATTAAAATAGGAAAAGAACAAATTAAAAATTACTTGGAGAAGTCAGATGTCTTCAAATCACCAGGACCAGATGAAATGCATCCTAGAATACTCAAGGAGCTAACAGAGGAGGTATCTGAGCCATTAGCTATCATCTTTGAAAAGTCATGGAAGTTGGGAGAGATTCCAGAAGACTGGAAAAGGGCAAATATAGAGTCCATATATAAAAAGGGAAATAAGAACAACCCAGGAAACTACAGATCAGTCAGCTTAACTTCTGTGCCAGGAAAG